AAAAAGAATCAACTTTTATTATTTTTAAATTATAATTATAATAACAGTTTTCACATAAAATATCAGGTGATAAAATATGTTTTCAATAGTACATAATAAGATAGAGACACTCATCATAATGAATAAAAATTATATGTATTTAAAAAGTTGTTTACATGACACATGAATTAAATATTTAACACTTTTTTGTTGTTCTGTTGTTTACTTACACAGCTTTATTACTGGTCAATATTAAAAATTGACTATTATTTGATATGAAGTTATTATTATCTTCATGTACATGTTACAATCTATCGCCGACATGTGTTGTTTATCCATTTTTTAAATATCTTTTTTTATAAAATGCTTGTCACTTACATTACATATACACATCAACTTATTTTAAACATTCATTCTAATTTACATAATGTGTGTTTTTTGTACAAAATCATTTATAATATAATGTTTGGTTCGTTAAACCAAACACAATCCGTTTGTATTATAAACTCGGTATCTTAGTCTGCACGCAGAAATAACATTCAACAACTTCTTTATATTTTTGGTGTTGTCTTTCTTAAAATTTTTGTTGTTCAACAATTGTTTTTGTTTATTATCGATTTGATATACCTATCTAACACTTTTTATTAATTATTTATCAAGACCTCTATCATTTTCAACTGTTAATGTTTTTATGTTTTTATCACACCTCATCGAAATATGATATATATGTTAAACGTATAACACATTAAAGTATTAAAGTAAAAAAAAGTTTTCATTATAATACCATTACTTCTAATACCTTTTTATTTCTTATTAGTAAATTTAATCTCATTTAAATACGTTTTTCTAATTTTTAACTATTTTATTATTTAACCTCTTTTTTTTAATTTCAAAAACTTGTTTGTCTGTCTGTTTATACAATTACTATTTAAAACAATAATTAATTCATCAAAAAAAGAGATAATTTATTTAAAATTTTATCTTTTCTTAAGGAACTAAACTTGAATAAAACGATAGTTAGTAAAAATTAACTATCGTTCGTATTGAAAAATCATCACATTTTATTATTAAAATTAGTAAAAACAATTATATTTATAGTATATTGCTTATTAGTAAAATACTATTAAGAAGCGCAAGAATAACGTACAACTGAAATTAATAAATAAATAAATATATGCGTTAGACAAACATATATATGTAGAAGATAAATGATTATTTATTCAGAAAAGAAACACACAGAAAACAAAAAGACAAAAAACAATATGTTATACCATTTTATATTTATGTTTTTAAAATTGTTAATTTCTGTACAATTGTAATGTATCACAACCATCTTTATTTTGAATAATTATTATAACATAAATATGAACATTTAATTGTTTGATATGTTGTGTTTTCATCAACAGACATTACTTGTTTGTTTATGAAATAATATATAGGATTTTTGAAGTATTTTATTTAGATATTCTACAAAATGATGTACTACTTGATAAAATAAAGTATATTGTTATCTGACGTGTAAGCAAAATACATATTCAAATAAATTACCCAAATCTAACCCTTTTTGACTTTTAAATAATAAAGAAAATGATCATAATATCCAACACTGATAATTTGTTTTAAATAATAGA